AGTAAACAAAAAACCAAACTCACTGCCCAAGGAGTATGTGATAGAAATTCAGAGTAAATTTAAAAACAAACCACTCATATTAGTTTTTGTAATTATTTTAATATTCTATTCCTGCCACTGCTGCATGCCTTTGAACGAATTGCTCCATCTTCCTACTTTTTAGCAACCTTGTCTATAAATAAAGGAGTTGGGGGATTCAATGATCTCCAAGATTCCTTCCAATAGTCCTATAGCTGGGTACAACCAACCTTGCAATACACAGAGGAAAAAGACAAAACACTTGCTTATGCCCAGTTGAAAACTTAAAGGCAGACTCCAGCTTTTTGTCTGTGTGTGTGTGTGTGTGTGTGTATTCTAACACTTCTCTGCACGTCTCTAAGAAATGTTTCTGGAAAAGAATCTACCAGGATGCTAAGAAGGTAGAAAGTATTTTGACCGTCTCCAGAAATGGTCATTTTCAGCTCAACATCTGTCAATAGGTCCAGATAATTCTCCAAACTCTATATAAATCCCAGCTCTCTGGTAGCATAGTGGCTAAAGCACTTGACTGCTCACCAGAAGGCTGGCGGTTCAAACCCACCAGCCACTCCTTGGAAGGAAGGGTGGGCAATCCTACTTCCGTAGTGATACTGCCTCGGAAACCCAAGGAGGGGTTGCTATGAGTCGGGGCCGACTCGACGGCACATAACAACAACAACAACAATTCACAAGCTGTTTAACCCTGGGTAAGTACTGCATCTTTGTGATCTCAGTGTCTTCCTCTGTAAAATGGGGATAATAATAATCCTACTTTAATGGAGCTTCTGCAGGATTAATATCCATATTTGTATAAAGCATGTAGAATAGTCCTTGGTCCACAGTAAGTACTGAGTAAACATTGAGTATTACCATTGCAGAGGAGCTCTGCTCCTATGAAGGGAAGATGGTGGGTTACTGTGGTCATGTTTGCAGTCTTCTAAAGGCTGATGACAGCCTGGGCTCCTCTTAAGATTTGGAAAATTAACTCTTCAGAAAAAAATAATAGACAACCAAAGTTAAATTGCTCAGTAGTTAAGATGCATACTACTTAACACTGAACTAAATTGTTTTTTTGAAGTTATTTAATTTCAGAGTGTCTATGAAATGAATGTGACATGAAGTTTTTATTTAATCTGATTAATATAACTAGGTAATATAGTTAACAAAGTTATATTAATCAGGTAAAATAAAAACTTCATCTCACATTGATAATTAGGCAATATAGCTAGCCAAAGGAGCTCTGGTGGTGTAGTGGAGAAGGTCAGGGGTTCAAACCCACCAGCCGCTCAGCAGAAGGAAGGTGGGTCGATCTATTTCTATAAAGATTTACAGCCTCAGAAACTCCATGGAGGTTGCTACGAGTCAGAATTGACTTGATGGGAGTGAATTTGGGTTTTTTTTGGGTTTTTTAAAGTTAACCAAACAAAAAACCAAATCCATTGCCATTGAGTGGATTCCAGTTCATAGTAAACCCACAGGACAGAGTTGAATTGCAGTTAGGGTTTCCAAAGCAGTGAATCTTTACATTAGCAGACTGCCTCATCTTTCTCCCAAGGAGCACCTGATGGATTTGAACTTTCAGTTAGCAGCCAAGCTTAACCACTGTGGCACCAGGGCTCCTTGGTAATGTAGTTAAGTCTAGTCAATTTGTTGAACTGAATTTTCTAAAGTTCATAAGGGATTTACTCTGTCCTCCTTCCTTTCGTTAAGCTCAGAGGTAGTGGTTTTATTAGTTGCGAAATGTCATTCAGTGCATTTTCTGAGGACCAGAAACAATAACTTAGATATCAGAACCTGTTTTACCTTTTAAATTATTCATAAATATTTCAGCATATAAATTATCCAGTGTGCAAGGGAATATGGAAGAAAAACTAGGGAAATTTGAAAGCTTTTGATAAAGCAGTTGGGACTAATGAAATTTAACACTACCAATACCCTGGTAAGGAGCTCTGGTGGGGCAGTGTCTCAGGCATTCAGCTGCTAACCAAAAGATCATTGGTTTGAACCCATCAGCTGCTCTGCAGGAGAAAAGATGAGGCAGTCTGTTCCCATAAAGATTTACAGCATTGGAAACACTATGGGGTTAATTTCTTTATGGTCATTATGATTCAGAATAGACTCAATGACAGTAAGTTTGGTTTTGATTTATGCCCTGGTAGTGCAAATGGTTAAGTGTTCGGCTACCAATGGAAAGCCTGGATGTTTGAACTAACCAAGCAGCTCCATGGGAGAAAGATAAGATGATCTGTTCCTGTAACGACTGTTGCCAAGAAAACCCTGTGGGGCAGTTCTGCTCCATCACACGAGGTCACTACATGGAAGGCAACTCTTGATAGTATCTACCAGCTGTCAGGTGGTATTATTACATTTGCTTGTTACACCTGTTAGTAGAAACTTACTTTTGCTGTATACAAAAAACAAAACAAAACAACTCTTTTTTCTGTCAAGTCGATTCCAATTCAGAGCCATCTTACTAGACAGAGTAGAACTGCCCCATAGAGTTCCAAGGCTGTAATATTTACAGGAGCAGACTGGCATTTCTTTCTTCTACAGAGAGGATGGTGGGTTCAAACCACCGAGCTTTCATTTAGCAGCCAAGCACTTTACCACTGCATCACCAGGGCTCCTTCTTTTGTTACATAAAAGAGACAAATAAATAAATTCACAGCCCTAAAGTGAATTGCTAGCTTTAATGCAGGCCTAATCTGGAAATAAAACCAAACCAAACCCCCTGCCATTGAGTCGATTCCCACTGATACTGACCCTTTAGGACAGAGTAGAAATGCTCCATAGGGTTTCCAAGGCTAAATCTTGAAGGAAGCAGACTGCCTCATTTTTCTCCATGGAGCAGCTGGTGGGTTTGAATTGCTGACCTTTTTGGTTAGAAACCAAAAGGTTTAACCACTGCACCACCAAGGAGTTTTCGAAGAAAATTAGGTCCTAGTAATTGTTACACTAAATGGTAGTTTACAAAGTGCATTCTTTCTTTTGAAAGTGGTATACAAATGTGATTTATCTAGGACAAAACAAACACCCTGAATTTAAGTAAAGCTTTTAGTGCTGAAAGGGATTATAGAGATTATATTCTCCACCAGAAGCCTAGAGGGGTAAAAGTAATTTGCCTACTGTTGTGTAGATAAGTGGATTTTCCAGATTTTAGCCTCTGCTTTCTTGTGCTCAAATTGGGAAAGGCCCTTCCATCTACAGCATGCAGATAATATACTATGGTGATAATAATAATCATAGTAACTATTATTTATTGGATGCATACTCTGGGCCTAGTATTCAGCTAGGTTCTGTACATATAATCCTTTCTCCTATGAGGTATGTCTACTTATCTCTGTTTTACAGATAGGATTGATTGAGACCCAGAGTTGGTGACTTGTTCAAGGCTACACAGCTAGCAAAGGCCAAGAGGTGGGATTCAGTCTCAGCTCTAAATCTGCACTCTTTCCACTATACCCATTGCTTTACCCATGTGGACCAATATGACCACATATTTTACTGGACTTTTTCCTTTAACATTAGTACTTTAATCTCTTGCAGTGATAGCCTCAGCTGCATGTAACTGCAGAACATGAACCCTTGATTGGTCTAATGAAATTAATAGCATTCCCCAGATTCCCAGCTCACAGAGGAAGACAGAATCATAATTGTACATTAGTTTGCATATCATCTTGAAAAGTAAGTCAAAGACTTTTAATAAAATCAAGGGTAAATGATCAACTAGATTATTAGAACATTACCTTTTAGCCTATGAAGGCTATGGGTCCAAGTTTATGAATTTAAAGCCAAAATCAAATAGTCAAACCCAAAAGGATAAGAATGGAAATGTGAAGCCTGGTGCTTGGTACATTAATACTTTGAGGTAAACTAGATATTTTATAGAAAACTATTAATTAAACAAAAATATTTATTCCATTCTATTTGAAGGAGAAACTCCCAAGTGTGAAATACTGTATTTAAAAACTGAAAAAGAAAGCAAAACAAAAAAGTGCTGAAAATTGAGTGCTGATGGAGCTGAGTACTTTGGAGAAAGATAACTAGTCACTCACGGTGCCAGTGTCACAGAGAAATATCTTAGACTTATCAACTCAACTGCTAAAGTTTTAATGTGCTTTTGAAACATTATTTTCAAGGCAAAATGAGGCAATGTTATGTTTAACTGTTTGGAAAATTTTTTTATTAAAAATATGTTTAATATTAATGCTATTTTTTCAATACAGTGAGATAATACTCAATAAAGCATCAAGTACTTGATGTTGTGAATATAGGAATATAACAGTCCTTCTAGACCCTGGTCCTCTCCAGTCTCCATAAGATACCCTAGTAGCAAAATGCAAATACCCTTTTCAAAAATAAAGAGACCTTTGGGCATCATGAGAGGGGAGTGGGATGGGAGCAAGGGACAAGGGGCAAGGAAAGAGTTCTTTCCTGACTTAACTCTTGCTTTTGGCTTTGACTTCATTTGGTAAGACCAGTTCTAAGAGACCTGAGACAAACCTCTCTATCTATGCTCCAAAGGGAGGGAGAGAAAAGCTTGTCATTCAGAAGCAGCTATACACAAAACCAGAAACAGGGTGCAGGGGTTGAGGGAATTAGGGATCGAAAATAAAAGTTGGAGTAAAGTGCACAGTCACTGTCAAAAATATATTCTTTTGATCCTAAGAAGTTAAGAGAATTTTATCTAAAGAACTAGATTGCTGACCTTTTAATACATTTGGTTTTCATGGAACATACAATCACCATCGGACATAAAAGACTAGTTTGCTTTGTTTTAAAATTTTGCTTGGAGTTATCTACAGGACTCCTGTGATCGCAATTGAAGGATAACATTCTGCAGCTCTTTGGGTATTGAATAATTTCATCAGATAGTTCACAAAGGATAGAGGTTACTGTTAGTTAAATGCACTGATTCAAGCGGGCTTTTCCTCATTCTCTGTTTCCCTCTTATCTCTTCTTCCAGCCCTAGCTCCCTTTCCCTAAATGCCAGTATTTTCTAGCTCTCCGTCTTCAACTCCTAAGGCATGAGACCGGGAAATCATCAAGAGTTTCTCTTTCTTTGTAAACTGCCTGTGGACCGGCTGAGGTTGCTCTGCCACGGGAGGCTTTTGGCTGCGATCCTCCGGGGGGCTTTGCTCCACAACAGGGGCGGTGGAGGTCTCACACTCTTGGCTTTTGCTGCCTCCTGCGTCCACCACCCATTCCGAGGAGGTATCGGCCTCCCGCAGGTGGGTGTATCCCTTATTGCTGCTGGACGGATCATCCGACTGGGAGCTCTGGGAGTCCCGCCTAGCGGGGGGCATGTCCTCCGGCCCTTGGGGAGGCGAAGGAGAGGTGGATTTGCCCAAAAGACTCGTGTCCAAGTCCGCGCTGCTCGGGGAGGGAGGGGGCTCAGGCGACGGCGGCGCCCGGTTGTCCGGCAGCCCACTGGTGCTGCCGCGCCGCGGGGCCGCGTATCTGCCGGTCCTGGGCAAGCGGCCGCCCTGGGCCGTGGCGGTGCACCGCGCCCTCGCGCCCTCGGGCTCCTCTGGTGCGCCCTGCGCCCCTCGCGCGCCGCCCCCGGCGCCGCGGAGGTTGGTCAGGCTCAGGTCAAGCTCGCCCTGCGGGATCTCCCGGGAGCCACGCTCCCCTGGCGGCGACTTCGGCCAGCTGCAGCTCGCGTCCTCCCCAGCCCCGTCGCGGTCCCCTGGCAAGGACAGCAGCGCAAAGGCGCTCAGCGAGGAGCCCACCAGAGAACTGGCGGTGCTTGAGCGCCTCCACCTCTCGGGGGGGCTGCAAGGCGCGGGACTGCTGCTACCGTTGGCAGCGGTGGCCTGACGACGGCCGGCCACGCCCGAGCGCTCACGGCAGATGCTGTACACTGCCTCCGCCAGGCTGGGGGTCTTGTGTGGGCAGCTCGGCGACGAGGCCAGGTCCACAGGGGACGTGGTGCGTCCGGCGCCCCTGGCTACGCTCCGTGCCGCGGGGTGGGGCCACACGCCCTTCGCCAGCGTCGCCGTCGCCCCGAAGGCGTCCCCTCCACTGCTGCTGCCAGGCTTCAGCTCGAGGCCGCGCGACTGCACGTAGCTGAGGAAGCCGTTGAGAGGCGAGGCCCCGGGGGACACCGAGACGGGGGCTGGGGACGAGGCGGCAGCGGCAGCCGCGGCCGCCAGGTCTTTGGCGCGGAGGCTGTGCACGTCTATGACGGTGGAATAGAGGTCCCGCAAGTTGATGATCTTGGTCTTCTTGTCGCGATTCTCGTGAAGCACTGCGTTGGCGCAGATGAAAAGGAAGATGCCGATTCCCATGATGAGGGGCCCGAAGACTTTGAGCTTGTCAGAGTGCAGGTAGCCAGAGAAGACGCGGAAGAAGAAACCCACAGACTTGGATGAGGAAGTGGAAGAGGAGGGGGCGGAGGCCTGAGCGGGAGGCGTGCTTCTGGTCACGCCCCCCAAACTGGAGTTGACAACTGCCTGACCCTCCAGGTGGCTCCTGGACCGGTTTCTGTTGCCGCTGCTGCTATTGGCTGTGGTTGCGGCGCGGTGGCCACTGCTCGCGGGCGGCAGCTGCTTACCCCCCTCCCGATTGGCCCCGCTGGTCTTGGGCCAGTAGCCCACCACTGCCATGGCTATGCCCACCAGCAGCACCAGGATTCCGCAGAGGGCGATGAGCCCTGAGATGGAGCAGAGCTTCAGCTTGCCTTTCACCACCACCACGTCGTTCTTGCGCCTCTTCTTGGCTTTCCGCTTGCGCTTGGGGACCTGGCTTGGGGGGCGGAGGGGATCCTGCTTTCTGGCGGAAATCCTCAGCAGGCCGCCGGTGGCGATCATGGTGAGCCGGTGGAGTGCGGGGCGAGCCCCTGGGGCGGAGGCGTGTGCAGGGGGGGCGCCAGCTGCCCACTAACTGCTCCGTCACCTCCTCCTGCTGCAAAGCAGAGGAAGACAGTCAGAAGGTGTAGTCTCGGCTATGGCAACATCCCACGCGCTGCAATTGCCCCGTTCCCAAATCCTACCCTATGTGTGCCCCCACCATACACCCACTAACCGAAGGATTGTATATAGAGACAGAGCGGGGTAAGGGGAGGGAATTGTTGCAAAGGTGAAAAGCAATTTGAGAGAACGCTTATCTCTGTACCCCCTATATCCGCCCCCACACATGCATTCTCCTGGCTGGCAGCAAAGGGAGATCTTTTGACCATTTGTAACAGTTCAATGTGGGTGCTCAGAGTAGTGCTGAAGACTTTCCTGGCAAGAGCCTTTCCCTTTGTCCTGCAGTAATCTGAAGATTTCCCAAGGGAGTTGCCACCAGGTCTTTGATTACAGTTTCAGCTCTCTCACTAAGCTAAGGGATTTGTCACTGTAAGCCCTAAAGTCACTGAAAAAGTCTTGGTGGTTATTTTATACAGACAAAAGGAATTCATTTCACTGGATGAAAAGTAAAGGTCACATACTGGCTAGCAGAAGGTTTATTTACTTCATAGAATTAATCGTGAATTAATTGCTGGCAAAACTCTACAAACATATCTCTGACAATATATCCCTTCACAAAGTCCTCTCCCACCTAGCACCGCTCCTACAGTTACAGGCAAGCAGCCTCATGCAAACCCTTTTCCCACCTCTACCCTGCAACATCTGGACAGCTTCTTGGGCTGGAATATTTCGTTTTAGGTAACTGGTTATGTAACTGAGCTCTTCCTTCCAGCCTCCTCTCATCCTTCAGAGGAACTCCCTTACATATCATGTGTTTGATCTCATCAGAGAATTTAAGAAGTCCCTTGGAATCTCTATGAGAAAGATCTTTTTCTCATGTGGGAAAATTACAATCTTAAAAATAAAATCTCTCTGCAGTAAGAGCTTTTAACATGCCAATTAATGTGTAGTTTTTAAAATCCCAGTAATTCAAATGAGTAGGCAATTAAGTAGGTGCAATGGAGTACAGGTTAATGATGACTTGTAGAATGACATTTCTCCAAGTAAAAGCTGACTTCACCAATTTCCCATGAGGTCACTTTTGGAAGGGAAGGTGGCTCAATCAATGGACTCCCCTGTAGGAAGTTGGTGGGTTTGAACCGCCAGTCTTCTGGTTAGCAGTCAAATGCCTTAGGCACTATGCCACCAGAGCCCCAGTAAGAAGTTTAGTTGTTTATAATAAAGCCAGGTAAGTAAATGCACAGATGCTTATTTGTGGTTTCTGTCAGTTTCTAAGTATTTCAATCCTGCTATATTCCCAGAGCAAAACATTTTCAGTTTCTTTGGTTGTTTCTTCCTATAAGAGGTGCTAAAATTAAAAGCATTGTATGAACATGAAATGCTTAGATACCACTCACAAACCTTTTAATATCCTTTATAAAATAATTCATATTTTAGAATAAATTGCCCTTTGAAAATGTGGGATTATTTAGGCAGGATTTTGCTTTTAATTGGTGCTTTGGCCCTTGATTCCCTCCACTATATCAATATAGGCAGGCTCTTTCTTTCACCCATAGAAAAGCAAATGGTAATCAGCTCTTTACAGTGTTTGAAGATCAATATCTCCTTGGAACTTAGTTGATTTTCAATAAAGAGAAACACCAGGTAGGTTAGTAGATAGAATACATCTATAAGCCTTTTAAGTTCTGACGAGCTGCACCATTAAGTACCAGCAGATTTTTTTTTTTTAAAAAAAGAGTAGTTTACTGTCTATCCTTCATCCCTCCCTTCCCCAAAACCAGCACCTTTACTATACAGTCCTAACAGAGACCACTGTTTTTAGTGACCCCTATACTCCAACATCTTTAATGTAGTCATCTGGGAATCTGTGATTATCTTAGGAAGGTGTTAGGAGCAGGCATTCAGATGCAAACCCAGACTCAGTTGGCAGGGAGAGAAGGGCTAGCTAGCATTGTTGGGGCATTGATAGGGTGCCCAAGATGCTGGGTGTCTTGGACAAAGAGAACATACACCTGTGTTTCTCCTCAGCAAGGCAGCTTTGGTTCTGGGTAGAATGTAAGGAAGGCTGGAATGGATTCCAACAATCGTTTACAAAAGATCTTTAAAATTAGTTTAATAGCTAGTAATTATTATTATTCCTTCAGCTCTGTTGGCAGAAGGCTGAACTCTTTTTTTTTTTTTTTTTTAATTTATCACCATTTGACATGAAACAGTAACAAAAGGTCAGGTGCCATGGAGGACCCACCTTTGAGGTGATTCTTCCTGTCTAATGAGGGAAAACAAACTTAGCAGTTTAGGTTGGCCGCCCTTGCAATTTACTGCCTGGTGCTGGTCTTTCTGTGGTTAAGCAATGGAAGATGGGGGAAGCAAAGGAGGGATGTCTAAAAATACAACTGCTTCCAAGAGAGACATTTAAGTTGTCCGCTCATGATGGATGGAGCCCCATTCTGTGTGTGAGGCTGAGCCGGGAGCGCCCTGCCATGGTGCCCGGGACCCCGCTGAGGTTCTCTCGCCTCGTCCTTCGACTGGGCAGTGACCCCCTGCCCTTCTTTGTGGTCTGCTTATTTATGTTGGAGTCACATGAGTGCAGCAGCTGGGAGTGCGCCTCTGGAAAGAAGACAAGCAGGAGCGAAGTGACGGCCATCCTGAACGCGCTTGTTCTGGCCAGCGCATCCCGTGTAGCCAGCACTGGCAAATGACTGCCCAAACCCCAGCTCTAGGCTGAGGCTGGAGGAGGGGAGAGGTGGGGTACCGAGGGGAGGCTGGGGGAGCTGAGGATTGACAGCTTGCTCAAAATGGCAGCACTACAGGCAAACAATATCGCTCACTTACCCAGGGAGACTGGGCGAGCTCGGGGTCGGCGACCCGGCGCTCTGGCGACACAAAGGAACCATGGAGAAACTTTTTCAGCCCGAGCCGACGTCGGGGCGCCGGGCCAGCGCCTCCGGGCCCTCCCTCCGGCCGCGGCTCAGCCGCGCAGTGGGGGCGAGCGCCCGCCAGAGGCTTGCAGCCCGCTCCGGTCCGGTGGCGGGAGCCATTTCCAAGAGTTTCCAAGAAGTGTCAGGCTCCCCTCAGGCTGCATGCTGCCGGAGTCCTCTTCCGCTCCTCGCTCCTCTCCGGCTCGTCCCGCTCCTCCTCTCCTCTCTGGGCTCGCCCCGCGGCGCCCTCCGGACTCTGCGGCTGGAGCGCCGGCTCGTGCGCTCTTTGTGTGGCTGCGGCGCGCGGGGCTCAGCTAGCGGAGTTGAGCCCCGGGCGGCAGCGGCTGCGGCAGCGGCCGGACTCGCGGCGGTTGCTAAGATACCGGAGCCATGACACAGGGAAATTGCTGCAGGATGGCAGTCGGTCCCCGGCCCGACTCCACAGCTCAGGGGCGCACCGCCCCCTGCCCCGCCTCCTGCGCGCCGGCCGGCAGCCGCGTCCCTCCGGAGAGCCGGTCCCTGGAGCGGGAGACGCGGGGGCGCGCGAGGGGACGCGGCGGGGCGCTCTCGGGCCGGAGTGGGAGAGCTCGGCGGAGCGACGCGGGGGGGCCGACCGCGGCGCACCCTCAGCCTGGGCCAGTCGCCGCCTCCAGGGCGCCTGGGACCGCTGCCTGCTGGATCCGAGAGCTCCGTTCTTTTCCCCCAACTACCTGTCTGAGCACAGGGCGGGAGAGGGCTCCGCTCCCTGAGGGTCTCCCCATCCGCCCCCCGGGGGAGGGCGCTACGGTGAGAGAAGATGTCCCCGTCGCTCTCTCTTCTTCCCTCCCCCGTCGCTCTCCCTTCTTCCCTCCCCGCTTCTCCCTCGTCTTTTGTTGCCTCTACTCTTCCACGCGCCACACAGCTTTTTCTTTCTTTTTTTCTTCCCTCTCTCACTTGGGAGTTTGCGGTGTGGATGCCCAAAGAGCACAGTAAGTTGTCCTCCAGCAAACTCAGCCCTGGCTCAGAGGCGCTGCCCCGACCGATCCAGGCCGATCCTTGCATTCGCGGGAAGACTCTGCCTGGTGCTATCGCAGCTCCAGCGAAGCCAGTCATTGTGACCCGCCTCGCTGGGACCACAGCGTCTCCCCCGACGCGGGCAGCTGAGGCTCATCAGAGATTAGAATCGACTCCCAGGCTCTTTCTTGGCGGCCCCGCCTGCTCTGTACGGTAATCATTAGACATTAAAAAGAGAACTATAATTCTCCGGGAATCAGGGTTAGAATCAAAAAGGGCAGGTGGGGGTAGGGAGGATGTCCAAACTCCCTACGTCATACAAAAGGAAGAGAGAGAGAAATTCTGTTTCCTAGCTTATTCCTGTCCTCTCAACTGTAAAGTAAAAATGACAGGGAAGAGAGAATTTCAAAGTGGAATTTCCCCATGGAGTAATGAGAAAGTGGAAAAAAAAAATTCAATTATTTATGGAAATGAGGCAGCCAGGATTCAGGTAGAAAGGAACAGAACAGCAGATAAAACAAGTGCCATTTGATTTTGGAGATCCAGACAGAAACGTTAGTGGAGGTTGTATATTCTGAGTTTTGCTGTTGAGGGGGTCAACAGAATCCCCACAGGATGGTCTTTTCTGCCCATAGTCTCAATTACAGAATTCCTCCTCAAAAGCACAAAGCTTGTGTTCAAACCTAGAATAAGCACTTGCCAAAAAAGAACAATAAAGATACAAAATTTACCAGTTACTGACATAAACAGTAGTCAATCATATACGAGGGGAATGGAGATGGTAGGACCCCAGGAAACAGGCAACCCTGAACCTGCCTTTTCCTGAGATGGCCTTTGTACACCTTTTCAAACAAATAATCTGGATTCTGATCTGAGTGTTCAGAACCCACATCCTTGCACCTCTCTTTCTACTCTGATTTAGAGTAGAAAACAAGCTATCATCAGGGAAAGTTTTAAACCTCACATTGGATTATTTCCTTTTAGAGAAAT